GGGGGGGGGGGGGGACGAGGGAGGGTTGGATGGGGCAGGATCCCGGGGGGGGCATCAGGGGGCAAGAAGCGGAGGCAGGGGGTCGGATAGGGGGCATTGACCGGGCCACACCTGGCTGTTTGGGGAGGCACAGCATCCCCTAACCGGCCCTCCATACAATTTTGGAAACCCGATGTGGTCCTCAGGCCAAAAAGTTCGCCCGCCCCTGACTTAGAAGCACTAAGTCAGTTAGGCATTGCAATACTTAACAGAATAGGACCTAAATAACTTTAAAATCCTGGGCCTTACTCTTTCAGGCCCAGATCCACAAAGCTATTTAGGCTCCTAACTTCCATTGAAATCAGTGTGGGCCTCAGTTCCCCACCTATAAAATGGGGAAAGCACCTCACAGGGAGAACTATATTAAAGATTTTGAGGTACTCAGCTATTATGGCAATGGAGACCAAGTAAGTACCTGAGATAAACAGTGTAAATGCCAGTTAATGTTTTAATCATGTCCCTGATACAGCCTCAGAAATCCAGTCACATGGGTACATCCAAGGTTTTAGATATCGATTGTGATTAAATACAGTTAAGCCCTGTTTATAACGAAAAATGGAACCATGACTGGAGACAATCACAGAACCAGACTTCCACGACACATCTGAATGTGTAATATAAACAAAGTCCTAAAAGGCACACAACATACCAACAACACAAAAAAATCAACCGGCTCAGATTATGACTTTCACTTCCTTATACAAGCTAATATTTAAACAGAGAACTGAAATTTCATTACGACTGGGATCCAAATGTGTAATATTCAAAGCTATGACGTTAATCTCAATTTCACATTAACCAACAATCTCTTCAATCTGAAAGCTGTAGCTCTTTTATCACCAAATATCTACAATTAAAATATAGATTTTACACCTCTCATCACCATTGTCAGAAGCCAAATCATCCCATAAATGGACAAAAGAAAATTAAAGCTTTCCAGCATCCTGTTTCAATCATTTCACATAAAATGTTAGCATACCAAGAATGAGAGACATAGAATGCATTTAAAATTAGTCACATGCTGTAGCTACACTATGCCATGTAAGAGAACACTAATATCTTAAACACCAATCAGAAAATATCTGTGAATTCTATTTAGTGTATTACTGTTAGAAAGTCATCAGCATAGACAAGATCTGTTGTTGTTTTTTTAATTCAAGTCGAACATATATTTGCAACCCCGCAAAAATTAAAATCCTGATCTGTTCTTCAGCTATTTTGCTTGAAATTTTAAATTTAGTTAATAAACAACCACTTGCATAGCATCATAGATAGGCATATTTACAAAATAAATAATGATTGAGTCTCTGCCCGGAAGGGGTGGTCTTTCAGTGTTCTGGGTTCCTTCTGGACGTGCTAAATGTCTTCAACTCCCATGGGCTTCATTGGGAGTTGAAGGTGCTGAGCACCTTGCAATAAGGCCCCATAATAAGACATGGACAACAAGGAGGAGCTGACAAACACAGAGATGTTAGGGAACAGTTTGGAAGATGACAACAATGGTGGGGATTAAGTGGCTGGTTGAGAAAGTAGTGATTCTTCAGAGTTATGCAGCATTTTTTCTATATAAATGAAACTGAGTAAAATTTTCAAAAATGCCTAAGGATCCTAAGTCCCATTTTTTAAAGTGACAGACACTTAGAAACCTAAGCCACACTGAAAGTCAATAGGACTTTGGTTCTTTTCAAAATGTAATCCAATAAGACTCCTTCAATAAGTGGATTTTGAGAAGAGCTTTAATGGAGGAGAGGATGGAGGAAAAAAGGACCCCTGATTCCAGCGGGAGGGTAATATACGATAGACAGTACCAAGGACACAGAGAAGGTAGTCAGATGAGATGCTTGGGCTGAGCAGAGAGGACATAGGGTAAACAAAGCCTTTTTTAAAGTTACCGAGGCAGGAAAGTTAAAACTATGTTCTAAAACCAAGTTTAATACCTCTCTCACAGCGCTAATATTCAGCGTAAACAAAAGGAATAATGGAAAGCCATCATACCAACACAGGCTTCCCCAGAGCAAAGTCCTGCAACCTTAACCATTACACAGCAACCAGAAAGTCTCAGTACCATAACTTCCCCCCACCCTCCATTTGACAGTTTCCCCTTCCACAGGAAGTAAACACTCCACATAACTTTGATAGCTGGAACTCTTCTCACTGTTGTGGCAAGTAGCATCTGTCCACACTTAGCAAATCTGCTGTATACAGCCTCAAGCCAAAAGCATGTCAGGAAGTGTAAGGCATTTAGCATTTTGAACCAAACTAACCACAAGTATAAAAACAGAGACACTGTACTTACTCTCACTATAAGAACATAAAATACAGATACTAAATTCTACAGCTTGAATGGCAATGTGAAAACATCTGGTTTCATAAGAAAACCATTGTTTGTGTTTTACTACTTAACACATTGTAGGTTAGCTTAACTTATTCCAATTTTCCAACATTATTTGTGAGCTAAAACTGCCAATCTCCACGCTAATTCATTTGAAGGTCAGAAGGAATACAGGATACCTGCAACTATAATATGACTTTATATTCACGTATGGCTTATACTATCAACTGCTTTCGACCATTAAAACCATTCATAAAGGCTTACACATTACAAATCCAACCTTTTTTGTATTGTGTCTTGACGTTACTATCCCCAATGGACTGCACTGTTTAAATAAGAAACCAGCTCCGCAGCCATATTACAGTTTAACAAAGTAGTTTGAAAGCTAACCCACACCCATGAATGACTCCAATTTCTTCATATAGGAACAGTTTAGGGGTTTGATATTATTTCCAAGATGGTTCGGATGAAGGCTGCAACCTGATTTAGTTATATAGAAGCATTTTAGGCACCCATCACAACAGCTTCTGGGCACATTAAAACAATATAGCAGTGACTGAAGAGAGCTCAAAACCCATGTGTAGTTATCTTCCAAACACCACACGCTTTAGTAGTACACCTCTACCTCAATATGACGCTGTCCTCCGGAGCCAAAAAAATCTTACTGCGTTATAGGTGAAACCGCATTATATCAAACTTGCTTTGATCCAACAGAGTCCGCAGCCCCATCCTCCCGGAGCACTGCTTTACCGCTTTATATCTGAATTCGTGTTATATCGGGTCGCGTTATATCAGGGTAGAGGTGTATATCAAAAACTTTCCTCACCAATCAAACCACTATACTATTGCATTATCTAGGTGAATTTTTAAAAGTCATCTTATCAAACACTTAATTAAATTAAGTTTATTCATTAAGAAAATCTTTAAAGGTTTACTACATCCCAAACACCGGTTTTTCTTTTTTTCCGCCTCTGTGTACCCACCCACTGATATTGTTGCTGATCCTTTGGCAACAGGGGTGGGGAGTTAGAGTCTTTGGCTGATCCTTTCCAATGTGGAGGCCTCCTTTCAGCCCATACCTCCCATGTTCTCATATATTCTTTTCCCATCCCCACTGCCAGTGATTAGGATGCTTGACAGTGGTTTTGAAAGAGATGTTCATGGCCCCTTCACTGAACTCCAGTGCTATTGTCTCCCTGTGCACCAGATAAGGGTAACAAGAAGCTTCAGAGCACCAGCAATACAAAGGTGGGCACAAAATGTCCATTCTAAATATGTGACTGATTTTAAAATATATTTTAAGGGCCTTTTTTTTTTAATTTGCTACTACCCCTGACATCAAAGGCTTCAGACCTAGCTCAGCAGCAGCAGAAAGGCACGGGGAGCAGAGTCAGATAAAGAACTCAAGAATGTCTTTGGAAACAAGACTCCAGCAGGCCAAACGGGAGAGACCAGGTTGAAAGCAGCCTTCCCGTTTAATTAACAGGAACAACCAAAGACATTGCCAATACCATCTCATACTCAAATGTCAAGGGGAATCACCAGAGGTCAGGGCAACTAGGTGATGAATACAAAGCTTTGTAGGTACTAAACATAATGTTTAAATCTCTAAAACATAGTTTAAATAACCATTCTATAAAGGGCAATAGCATACCCCAGGGTGTGATTTCATCAGATAACATATGCGCTTCTTCAGTGCGTATATTCACTGATGAACTAACAGCCCCCTTCTCCATTGTGTGTTATTGCTTAGCATAGAACTGTCAGAGCTGGAAAGAACCCACACAGATTTGACAATTTTCAGCTTGTTTGGCAGGACTCTCATATAAATAAAAATTAATGTAGTCAAGCATTAGACTTATACACCAGGAAAAACCAAAAAGGGGCACATTTTCACACTCTTCCGTATTGACCACTGTCAGAAACACATACACAGATAATGTGACAAACTCTAATGCAATTACGAAAAAACAAAATAAACAGAAAATTCATGTCAAAGCACATAATGTCTCCTGAGCTTTCTCCTGCAGGGGATTTATTTTTATGTCATCCAAGCATTCATGAGAGTATTTTATATCATCTAAGTGGTCATTACTCTGCTGCATCTAGAACTTATAAGGATATTTACAAATAATAAAAAGCATACTTTCTTTCCTCCCCCCGAGAAGGATCAAAACAAACCTGCAATTGGGAGGTGGATCTAAGGTGATGTCAGCCAATTCCTTCTGAATCCTATGGCAATAAAAACAAGAAAGAACGAAGGTAAGTCACTATGCGGGATCACAGTCAACACACACAAGCAGTAGAGACAATATATGTCACAATGACTGTGAGACTGTGTGTGTGTGTCACTCTTCCAGGAACACATAGGGTAGATCTACACCTGCAGCGGCATGTAGAGTATGTACACGGCATGCCCAACTAGCACAGGTATAAATAGTGTAGACGGTGAGGCAGTGCTTAGGTGAGTATAGTGGAGACATGCTAGAAATCTAGGGTATATACTCTACACAGCTCTCTACCAAGCAGTGCCTCCCACATCTACACAGCTATTTTTGACAGTGTGGTGTCCTGCCGCCTCCCTACTGCTACAGCCTTTTTCCACCACAGTGCAAGATTCCAGCAGTGGGAGTCATAGGGTGTCTGTCCCACTGCAGTGTGTGTCTGCAGTGGTCTAGTCTATACAGGAGGCGGTGTGTAGGGTATGTGTAGCTATATGCTGCAGTGAAAGGTTCAGGCAAGGGGAGGCAGCAGGGAAAAGCTCCCCCCCACCAAAGCCTTTCACTGCAATTGGCCCTGCTGACGGAGCCTTTCCCCACTGCCAGAGCCTTTCACTACAGCGTATAGCCACACATGTCCTGCACACTGCCGCCTGTATAGACAAGATCACTCCAGACACATACAATGGGGTAGACACCCTATGACAGAAACACAGAGAGAAAAATAGACAGACATTCCTTCTCCCCATATCAGCTCCACAGACTGTTCCACCCCCCCACACACAGGGAGATAAGGCCCCATCCGCCTCCAGCATACTGACAATGAGACAGATCCTCCTTGCAAAGGCGAGTGTTAGGTGTGAGGGAAGGACTACAGCCTGGGGGAAATTATGAATCTTTGTCTCACTGAGATGGGCTAAACTGCCACTGCCACAATCCGCTTCCCCACTTAGCATCCTGGGGAACGGGCTGGAGGGGTTCTGACTGGGAAGGGCAGGTAACTAGCAACAGAGCCCAACTCCCTGACCCATTTCTGATTAAACTCAAAGAGGGGAATAGTCACACACATCTCCAAGATCCTATCTGCTCCCGCAACCACAGCCTCCAAATCTTCCCTGCCACCCAAAGCCCCATCCCCAGTCCCCTCCCTCACGTCCACAAAGCCCCATCCTCAACATCCTCCCTGCCTCCAGGCTTCTCCAGCATCCACAGCTCCACTCTTCCCTTCCACTACCACCAGCTACCATTCCCATTCCCCAGAGCCCCACTATTGCAACTCAAGCCTCCCCTCCAAATCTCCCCACACTGCACACGCAAACAGCCTCCCTTCCTTCCCCTCCTCCACATTCAACCAGCCTCCTTTGCCTATCTTCTATTTGTCACACATAATAAGAATCAAAGCCTACTCATACCAAGCAATTTACAATCAGCGGGCCTCTACAGAGATTTTAAAACTAGTTGATGGCTTCTCATCCAACCACCACTTGCTGCTGTGTATGTGACTTTGCCAAGGAACCATTTGCTCAGAGGAGTTCTGAAGTCAACAAGCTGCCTGAAAGCTACAAAATCCAAATGACCTCTTGAGCACAACAGCAGAGCATTGGCTGAACAATCCAAAAAACCCAGCCCTTTTTAACATGTATAGATCGCGGGCTTTTGGTAGTTCATTGCAAAGCTTTTCAATGACCAGCCAGACGGATTATTGTTCTTATTGACGGAGTAATGAAAGCTTGCTTGGAAGCTTCATTCTCAGCTAGGTGAGCTTTTTTGGAGTGGGATGGTGCTGAATTCAGGTGACATGGAGAATGGCTCAGGTAGGGCAGCAGTAATGTTTTGGAAGTGAGTTGGCTCTAAGGGCTTGTCTACTTGGGGGATATTGACTAGCATAGCTATTCCAGAAAAGTTATTCTGGTATAATTTAAGCAGAGTAATTATTTCACAATAAAGTCCCTTTCATTTTAGAAAAGGCTGTCCACCTGGAGAGCTGTTCTGGAACAGTAATTCCCCAGGTACACAAGCCCTTAATGCAGGTTGGAAGGAGATAGGGAAGTAGTAATGCATTTAGTGGGGAGGGCTGGCACTAGGTAACAACTGTTTGCATTTATGACATCTGTCATCATACAAGATCAAAGCAAACATTACTTAATTAATCCTCACAACACCCCTCTGAGTTATGTGTTATCATCATCACTCCCATTTTACAAATGGGGAAACCGATGGAGAAATTAAATGACTTCCTCAAGGCCACATAGCTTCAGTAGCAGAGCAGGGATTAAGCTCATAGGCTTTAATCCCTACAGAGATCTGGCCTTAAAGCCAGGTGCTGAGGAGAGCAGTAATCTCAGTGGGGACGAACGGTGCTGAGTGCAGATGGTGAGGAGGAGACGGGGAACGGTAATGTTTGGGGGAAGCTTCTTGCTAAGTGCAGATAGTGAAAAAGGGAAGATGGGGACAACGGTAAATTTCTGTGGAGAGATTGAAGGTAAATGCCAGTAATGAGGAATAGAAATGGTTAACACTCAGTGGAGGGGAGGAGAAACAGCAGCAATGGGGCAGATACAGAGGGCCATATAAGCAGAGAGACAGAGGCACAGAGAGACAGCAGTGACACGGTGTCTGGCTGCAGGTAGTCTCACCTCTTGGCGCTGGTGGAGAGAAGCTTGGAGTTTTTACTCATGCTGACTTTGCTTTCCTTCTTCTTAGGGGTGTTTGTCTCTTTCTCAGTCTGTTGGTTGGAGGATGAAGATGAGGAGGAGCTGGTGCTGGCCCTCGAATCGTCATCCGACATAGCGACCCCCCCCCACCACACAACCCAAACCTGGAGAGGAGACACCACAGGATGTGGGGAACAAACAATGAACGCATGCACAGAGAAAGGAACCCACCACAGTCTCACAGGCAAAGGGTGTTTGGGTCACACTCTCTTTAGACAGGGCCTGTCTCTCTCTCTCTCTCTCTCCCTCCCGCCTTCGCAGACAGGCACCCTGAACAGAAATGGTCTGAGCAGGAGGAGCAGCAGCTTCTCCCTGCACCAGTAACACTGGGGGAGGGGAGGGACTTGAATGTCTCCTTTCAATGAGAACAGAAGAGGGGGGGCAGGCTGAGAGAACAGGGACTGGGAAGGAGGAGGCTGCAAGGTTCAGAGAAGCTGCAAGTAATTCCTTCTAATCTCACCCAAACTACACACAAGAAGCCAGTCATCCTCACCCCCCAGTTATCCAGCCCTGGGGCATGGGATATAAATAGGATGTCTCCAGTCCCCTCTGCACGCACAGAGGCACATGGAGGAAAAGGAAAAGCAGCAGGATCAATGCCCACAACTGGAGTGGGGAGACATTGGCTACAAGGGGAGAATAAGTATCTAGGAAGGTGAGGGGCAGGCAGGGTGTTTGTGGGAGGGAGATCAGTGGGGGGGTGGGAGGGAGATCAGTGCCTGGGGAGGCAGGCAAGGCGGGGGTGGGGGGAAATTGGTGCCTGTGGGAGGGGAGGGGGGAGGAACAGATGTGGGGAGAGATGAGTGCCTGCAGGGGGTGAGGGGCAGGCAAGGTGTGGGAGGGAGGAGATCAGAACCTGCAGAGGAGAGGGTAAGAGGCAGGTGTGTGTGGTGGGGGGGGAGGAGATCAGAGCCTGCGAGGGGGTGAGGGCGAGGGGGGGGGAGAAGAGAGAGAGGAGATGAGTGCCTGCAGGGGACAAGGGATAGGCAAGGTGGGGGGGGAGATCAGAGGAGGGGAGGAG